TCTTGCCATGTTTTATCTTTAATAGTGCCAAATCCATGGCTGCTTTTGCATCCTCGGCGCTGTCATGTCCGGATTCAGACTCCTGTATCTCTCTATCAAGGAATTTTTTTGCTAGAATTCGAAGTTTAGTTTTAAAGGATCTACCGTGTGGATGCTTGTATAGTACTGCCGTGTCAATCACCAGATTATGAGAGATCTTCAGAGAAAACAAGTCATTTTCCAAGGAGTGTCCGACTAATACAGTCTCTTTGAAAACCAGCTTTAAGAACTCTTCCTGAACATAGCAAACAACTCTAATTATACTAGACCATTCCAAGTCTTCGATTCAAACCTCCTAACCCGTAATAAAAGATAAAGGATCTCGTAAAACCTGAATATCTTTAATAGTTGTTGTAACTCCCTCCATCATTTGAGCTGTTATTCCACTATACCTGCAAACCGATATCAATACTGTGTTTCTGAGGCATACCTATTAAGATGTACTTAAATCAGGTGCTTTTGAGAAATTTGTATGCAATAGAAACCGAAGTAAGCACATCAGCATGGATTACCTTGTGTTGTAATCAGTAATATCATTTGTTGGCTTGACTAATTTATCTAACAGAACCTGCACGATCATGGCAACTTGGTAACAGAAATTAAGAAATCTAACAAACTTACAGAAATAAGGAAGAAAATACCTGTCCTTCGATATCCACCAGCGTCACTCTTGTCAACTCCAAACCCTCCTTTGTGATACACTAGGGTGAACCAAAAAGTAAACCTTTATACGATATTTGGCTGTTGCTTTATACAGAAAAATAAGCTTACAAGATGATTATAAAAACTTGACAAAATAATAATATATGCTCATATGATTATACCGAAAGCATAGTCATGAAATGGTAGAGAACATAATCATTTACCATCTCGCAATCAAGAGCCAAAATTTCATGGGGACATGATCCTGATGGTGCAGGAAGCGTAGAGGTAAACTCTGCATAAGGAAAAGAAAATTATCAAATGATGTGACTCGAAGGCAAAAACTTAACAGCTTAAACAAGATGATGCTCTTAATTTTACATAGATGGAGCTCGTACCTGATTTCTGAAAAGTATATCCATTTTGTTCCATTTCCTTTCGACTTAGAGTATAGTATGTAACAGGGAATGGTATATCTTTTGTGAGCTCAATGAACGATTTCCCCATCACATTGCATGTTTCTAGAACAAGCGAAAGATGTTATCTAGTTAGGGCCTTATCTAAATCGCGACTGCTAACACTGAAACCTCACAATTAATAGCTGAGAATGATCAAGAAAAGAACCGTTGACTAACATACCAAAACATATATGCCAGTTTATAAGAAGTAAACTACCTGGCTCAGATACTTGGAGAGGTGGTTCCACTGAACTAGTAACAGTTTTTTTTCTTTTAGCCGTGCAAGTAAGTAACGTATCGATTGTCTTCATCTCATCAACTACACAGCTAACATGAATAAAAAGCAAAAGATGTTTACAAACAAAAAACTGTATTTCAATAAGCTACAAAGCCAAGCGAAGTACCAAAACATACACCAACCTCAAAGCTAAGAGCGGTATAGGATTGCCACAATATGATTTCAAACTAGGAAGTAATTTAGACTGTGATAAGTATAAAGCTGCATCCAATCCAGGAAGGTAGAGCAAGACAACTTTTGGAATAAGAGACTTCTTCTGCAAAAAAAGAAATACCTAAACTTGTCAACATAATGTGTAATCACATATACAAAGAAAAAAATCGAGATCCGAGCTCAATTATCAACACATATATAAACCAATTCGAAGAAAATCTTATTCATACGTTGACGATAACCCACGAGGGCATAAAGCCTTCTGCAAGAACCCATGTCACAAGTCCCTGAACATCCTGTCAATTCAAACACATGTAAATAAATACACAAATCTTACATAATCATAAAGAATGAAAAGAGTCTCGTTTGGAATCAGAAACCTACTTGTAAGTTCAATGTTGCTTCAGGGTTCTTGAAATCGAGTTCTGCTTTCCCCTGCCAAGAAGAAGAATCTACATCAGATGCAAACATAGCAGCGCATAAACTTCAAAATCAATCGAATCATTTCAGAGGAGGTGGTTTTACTTCCGGTCCATATGCATCGAGCGAAATTTTCTTGGTGTTGCTCTTATCACTACCGTAGGCACTTTCTCGACCGTTCAGATTATCTTTCACCGCGGTTCCGGCGTCGCGCTTCCGCTTCGAAGAAGACATTCTTGAGACGCCGAGAAATTATCCGACAAAACTACCGAGATACTGACACGAACCAATTCCGCCGTCGCCTAACACAGCGGTCAACCTTTTCATTCGCCGTCGGGCAAATTGAGGGGGGTTTTAACCTTTGTCGTCTAAAAAAATCCCCCCAGACC